TCTACTACACTAGATAGAGTTTCCTTTACCTTATTTAATGCCTAACATTGAGTGCTTTCTATGAATCACGCCTTACTATATAAGGTGTTTTGAATGTATCATGCCATTTACAGGAATTTAAAAACAAACAAACAAAAAAAGAAACTTAGCCCTCACTTGTTTGGCTCAGTGGATAGAGTGTTGGCCTGCGGACTGAAGGGTCCCAGTTCCAATTCTAGCCAAAGGCACATGCCTGGGTTGTGGTCTCAATCCCTGGTGGGAGACATGCAGGAGGCAGCCAAATCAGTGATTCTCTCTCATCATTGATGTTTCTATCTCTCTCTTCCTCTCCCTTCTTCTCTCTGAAATCAATAAAAATATATTTAAAATAAATAAATAAAAGCTTAAAATGCAAAGCTTAAATGATAGTTACATACAATAAAAATCAAAGAAGTCCTATTAAAATCATGATTCAGAAAACTTAAGGCAAATAAAATTCTACAAAGTATAACAGTAAAACAAATTTCCACCTTCACTTCCCTGAACAACCAAGAGCTTCCTTTATTTCTAAGGAACCATCTTTACTATCTTCAGCTGAAAAAAATCAGAGATATAGTCTGAACTTTGGGAAATCTAGGCAACATTTTTTTCTCATAGACAACTTCTATAACTTCAAGAATAGAACAAATATTGATAGAAAATTTACCAATATAGCAATAGAAAATATGTTGCCATCCTACCAGATACTTCAACATCTCAACTTTTAAATATTTCAAGAATGCTATTGCACAATATAAAATCAACAGAAGTCCTTCTCCCCAACTTTTTTCATAGGAGTATGGCATATTTGTAATTAAAATATATTTCTTAGTGAAGTTAAAAAGAGAATCAAAAGAATGTATCAGAGTAGAAAACAAAGTAATGCTAAAACTACTAGCATTACCTTGTTGCTTGATGTTTATAATTTTTTTCAATTATTTCATTAGTACCTTATAAAGGATGTTTTTAAATGTTTATTTTGGAAACATGCTTACCACACTGGAACTTTTGTTAAGAAAACTTAGATGATGTCAGTTCAAAAGACTTTTTCTCCAAAGTAACTAATTTTTATGCAATATAAGATAGAAAAAATCTAGTTTGTCATAAAATGTCCAAAAACTCAATAAGTAGTTCTCTCCTGAGGGGAGAAGGGGGGAGGAGTTAGTAGTGAATTTCTCCCTAAACTGTAAAACACATGCTTGTACCCTTACAAAAACATTTTTAAAAATACATCAATCTCCCTCAGTGGATAGTGTCAGCGTTCAGACTGAAGGGTCCCTGGTTAAATTCCGGTCAAGGGTACATACCTCAGATGCAGGCTGGGTCCCTGGCTCCCACTGGAGTGCGTGTGGGAGGCAACCAATCCATATGTCCCACTCACATCAATGTTTCTCTCTCTCTCCCTCTCCCTTCTACTGTAAAAAAAAAAAAAATCCACCAGGTAAAGATTAAGGGGAAAAAAATACATGAACCAAAAAACATATATAAATAAAGAACCAAATTTTAATGAGTTTTTCTATTATCAGCTAGTATTCCAAAACTACAAAAACAGCTATTAACAGTTTATATAAACTGTATAAAATACTAAAATTGTATACATTTGTCTAGATAACAAAAAGTAATGAACATCACGATTTGAGTTAGTGTGTAATTTGTACTTGATCACAGAATTTTAAGATTCATTTCATTTTAGTGGTTTTGTACCATCATCAGACCTCAAGTACTATTGTCCACACTTCTTAACTCACTAGTTTTTACCAAAGATGAAGTGGTTCTATAAAGAAAGTAGCAGCTCTATGAAGATTGCTTATTTAAAAATAAGCCTTCTTTTTTTATTTGCTTATAAAATGCTGAAGTTTCTCAAATTCAAATGTCATGTTTATAAAGAACTGATAAATATGTTTTTAAAATATTAGTTTTAACATTAGCTGTTTCTAATGTCAATAGTTAGCATTACCTGATAAAATTCTATAATGATCCTATATAAATCTATATAATAATGTTATATAAGAGTAATATGCAAATTGACCGTCACTCCAACACACAATATGGCAGCCCCCATGTGGACACAAGATGGCCATCAGTGGAGGGAAGTTGTGGGCGATCAAGCCTGTGGGGGAGGGCAGTTGGGGGTTACCAGGCCTGCAGGAGAGGGCAGTTGGGGGCAACCAGGCTAACAGAGGAGGGTAGTTAAGAGTGACCAAACCAGGAAGGGATGTCAGTTAGGGGCCATCAGGCCAGCAGGGGAGCAGTTAGGCATCAATCAGGCTGGCATGGAAGTGGTAGGGGGTGATCAGGCTGGTAGGCAGAAGTAGTTAGGGGCAATCAGGCAGGCAGGCTGGTGAGCGGTTAGGAGCCAGCAGTCCTAGATTGTGAGAGGTATGTCTGACTGCCCAGTGGGATCGGGCCTAAATGAGCAGTTGGATATCCCTCAAGGGATGATTGGAGAGAGTTTAGACTGGGCTGAAGGACACGGACACACACACACACACACACACATATACACACACATGAATGAATTTTGTGCACCAGACCTCTAGTCTATATACAAAAGAGGTGATATGAATATTGACCATCACTCCAACACACAAGATGGCCACCCTAATGTGGATACAAGATAGCTGGCAGGAGAGGGCAGTTAGGAGTGACCAGGCTGGCAAAGGAGAAAAGTTGGGGGTGACCGGGCCTGCAGGGGAGGGCAGTTAAGGGCAATCAGGCCTGCAGAGGAGCAGTTAGGCATTGATGAGGCTGGCAGAGGAGTCTAGGGAGTGATAAGGCTGGCAGGCAGAAGTGGTTAGGGGCAATCAGGCATGTAAGCAGTTGGGAGCCAGCAGTCCTGGATTGTTAGAGACCCGATCCTACCAGACAACCCTCGAGGGGTCCCAGATTGGAGAGGGTGCAGGCTGGGCTGAAGGACACATACCACCCCCCCCCCCCCATGAATTTCGTGTACTAGGTCTCTAGTAAAAGCATAATATGCAAATCGACTGAAAGGCAGAACAGCAGAAGAACCACACTATGACATCCACTGGCGCCAGGCCAATCAAGGCAGATGCAATGTGATTGGCCGGGGCCTTGCAATCACCCCATAGAGAGAGGGCTCAGGTCACCAGCCCGAGGGGGGATGAATCAGGGGGCTCCCCAATTGCCCCAAAGAGGGAGGCCCAGGCTATCTGGCAGCAGCAGGTGGGTGGGCCTCCCCCTGGGAAGTGGGAGCAGGCTGGGCCCAGGGACACCCCCACCCAACCAGTTCATGAATTTCGGGCACCAAGCCTCTAGTCTTTTAATAGGCAGCCATTATTTTAAGTACAGAAAATGTGAATTCTACTACTGTAGCTCTTTACTAAGTTTTGGAATCCCAGAGAATTAAGAGACTAATATACTCAAGCAAACTACAAATGCTAAATCTTTTTTCAGGGATCCCTTGCTAACATAATCATCTATTTCTCAAAGAGAAAAGGCAGTTCAAATTTTCAAAAATTGTCAAATCAACTGTATATATCACAAATACAGACTTAAACTTTAATGGATGACTAGTTTTAAAACAACCTCTCCAATGGATGCTTAACCATTTCACTGTTAAAGAGAGCAGTATTTAACATACAATCCATACTTTGAATTTGACTCATTACATACTATATATATCCTATCACAACTTAAAATTTACCAAGACCTATCGATATACTAAAGTTTTGTTTGAGGCAAAATATTTATTTTGTGTTACAATTATCTGGCTGAACCAATCAAAGGAAACTAGTTTCTCTTAGCTAATCTGGGCAGTGAACTTGAGAAAAGAAAGCAACATAAATGAATATGATACATTCCTAATATATGCAACCCCATAGAAAACCCCCAGCCATCGGTGACATTCCTAACAACACAAAAAAGGACATAAATTATATCACAATTATTTCTGATTACTTTTAAATCATGTTTCTCCCCCTACCCCTTGTATTTTAAATACTACAGCAAATCTGGTGTGGAAAATGAGCAAGTAATTTTTCCTTGGGATATCAGGAGGGATCATACCTCCACAGTTGTAACCACTATCCAAGGATACAGCTCTACCCTTGGGTGGGAATGTGCAGAAACTCAGTAGCTGCTCCAAGGGTAAACAGAACCTTTTTTTCTTTTGTTTTTTCTGTTGCGGTACAAAGAACTCAACATACTCCCCTAAAAGGTACACTTATTTTAAAAAGGTCAAAGGAGGGCCAATAACTCCATTCTCATTCCATGAGAATCTCTTTCCTCTTGTACTTGCCCTGGCCTAACATTTCATCTCTTTCCTGCAGCAAAATGCCATAATAGGGAAGGTCACAGAAACAGGATGAAAAAGTCCTGGCCATAACCCTCCAGGCCCCCAAATCCAAGGAAGCCTTAATGTTTTCCTCTTCTTAATCCCACCCAGAGCGACTCATGATTAACCCCACCCCTGACCACAGTCCCCATTTCAGTCTTTATCTTCCCCAAGTTGTCCTCAAAACAGCTTTTCCAAGGACTTGCCAGGTAAGTGAGCTAAGCAATAAAATAAAGACAGACTTTGGAGCCGAAGGTAGGTCAGCCTTGCAGGGTACTTAGGGGAGAGCAGAAAATACTTGAAAAGAACTAAGAAAGGTCCAAGGACTCGTGGACGGACTGTGCCTTGAAAGTCCAGGCCGGCAGATAAAACCAGAAAGGCACGGAGAACGAAGAAAACTAGCAGGAGAGACATTTTGGGAGCAGAGCAGAAGCGCCCCCTCTGGTGTTGAAGGATCAGCAGTCAAATCCGAGAAGCGCCGCATCGCGTCTAGAATACTAGGGCGGACTCTGCACCCGCCCCGGGAGACCTCCGCAATCCCATACAGAGTCGAAGGTTCCCCAGCATTGGCCCCTTCCCATGCCTGGCCCAAGCGGATAGGGTGCAAACTGGAAAACGAGGGCCCAGCTCTCCTGTCTCCCGCTGCCCGCACCTCCCCCTCCCCCCGCACGGACACCGCGCCTACCTGTAGCACCAGGGGCTCGGGGTTGAAGGCCAGGGTCAGCAGCAACTGCATGCGCTCTGAGTCCTTGAGGTTGCGGAGCAGGAAGCTGCCCGAGTCCTTGGTCTCCGCATAGCGGCGCACCAGGCGGTCGAGCAGGCGCTGTGAGGGGCAGTGCACCAGGTCAGACCAACCCTCCACAGCCTCGGGCGTCAGCAGCCGCACGTCGCCGTTCAGGCGCGCGAACTCAGTGCGCGGCATGGCCTGCAGCAGGTCGCAGCGAGGCCGGCCTGTGGCCCGCTTGCAGATGCTCTGGTCGAGCTGCGCCAGCTCGCGCTGCGAGCCCAGGCGCTTGAGCACCACTCGGCGGCGGCCACCCTCGCGGGGCTCGCCATACTGCGCGAAGTACACGTTCTTCACGTTGAGGAAGTCCAGCAGGCGCAAGCGGCCCCACGCCTCGAACACTACTTGCCCGTTGAGGAAGCGGCGGCACCAGCTCGTGCCGAAGCACGCCGGGCACTTATTGAGCTGCAGGAAGCGCCGGTCGGTCAGTTCATTGCGCTGCCAGGAGGCGAGCAGCGACGGTGAGTGCAGCACCATCAGCACCAATAAGCTGCCCAGAGCCGCCAGCTTTAGCGAGCGGGACAGGCGACCTAGCTTCGGGGGCACCAGGCGCCACATCCCGCCCGCCGCCCGTCCGCACAGGAGGGCGAGGGCACCCCCTGGGCGCCCCCGCCGCGCCGAAACCCCGAATGGGAGGAACAGCGAGGGAGCGGGCCGGGGTAGGAGCGAGTAGGTGTGTGAGCGGTGGCGGGAAAGGGCCAGCTCTAGCAGGCTGCGACTTCCAGTTCCTAACCTCCTCAACTCTAGCTCCTAACGCCGAGCTCCGGCCCCGGCTCCCGGGGCGCCTCTTTTCAGCCAGCCGAGTTATGGAGGGGCGGAAAGGGGGTGGGGGTGACGCGCGGGCCCGAATGCCACGCGCCCGCCCGCCCGCGCACGCGCACAGCACTCTCAGGGCGTGAGAGCTGCGGCGGAGGCCGGGTTTTGGGGAGATCGAAGGAGGGACTCACGGAAGAGGAAGAAAAACTGGAGTGTCTCACTCCGCGAGCAGCAACAGTGTAGGAAGATGGGATTGAAGGAGGCGCCCGCTGCAGGCTGGCTCTTCGGAGACTCCGGGAGCCGGGGGCGGGGCACCCGGAAAGCGTAAGCACTGCTCTTGGGGTGGCAGCGGGGCGTCTCCGTGGGGGCGGAGTCCGAGCCCGTGCTGTGAACACGCAGAATTGAAAGCCTTAAGATACCGTGTTAAAGGGACAGTAAGATAATACCTTAATAAAAAAAAAAAAAAATGAAAGAAAAAATTTTTAAAAAATAAAGGGACAGTAAAAGGAACAGGGAACCCTTCTGGCCTGATGTTCACATGACTCCTACCCTATACGCTCTAGAGAAGCAGAGATGAGCTGTTGGCAGGTTTGCTTTGCTTCCCACCTGCTTTCCCAGACTGGCCCTGAAGCCTTTTCCTATTGAGCACAGAGACCGCCGAGGAGCCCGCGGGAGGGCACCCCACGTGGTCCCCCGCAAGCAGGGACTTGCTGTGGCGGTAACCATGGGAACGGGGGACTGGGGATAGCCTGGTGCTCTGCGCAGGCGGGTTGGCGCTGGTTCATGGCAGCACTGCAAAAATAACTCGGGAGTGAATTACAGCGCCTTGTTTTGGTATAAATTTTAGAAGACCAGGATTCTAGCAGTAGCTGCGAATAATAATGATTCTCAATTTTAGCGTTAGAATGAGGAGTTGTTAGTCTGAATGATAGGTGGTTCCTGATACAGTATTAAATACCTAGGTCTTAACTGAGTTAATTTTAGAGATTGAACAATTATTTTTAGGAGACCTTAGTAATTGTCATGTATAGACCAACTGTACAGGGGCCTAATGAGAAGCACTGTCAAATTCACTTTTCTCTATAGCTATTGTAAATGAGCCATCGTCATGAGACGTACTGTTGAAGTTAATATTTTGTCCTTCATGATATAAGGACTCAAACTTAGGGGAAAAAGCTTTGAACAATTAAGTATATTCAATATAGAAGTGATTTTTAAAAATGCTATTACATTAAATACAGACAAATTGGGAGATTTAGTCTTCAAGACTGCTACAAAATGATTTAAAGAAATTTTGCTGCTATGTGAAGAAATTTTACTTCCACCTTTGGCAGTAATTTGGTTTAACTTGCCTTCAAGCATCCCAAAACTCCATACAAAGTAAAGTTCTGAGCAGAATCTCAAATGAGAATTTTTATAAGAATAGAGTTTAATATGATTGGCCTGGAAATGTCAGAGCTGCTGCTGCTGAATGGTTGGCAAGTTTATTACTAAACGGCAGACTTCTTTAGCATCTTTTGTACCTGTACTATAGATGTGTTAAATTAATATGAGATAATTTATGTAGAAATGCTTTAAAACAATAAAAGCACTATATACCCTGTTTCCCCGAAAATAAGACAGGGTTTTATATTAATTTTTGCTCCCAAAGATGCGCTAGGTCTTATTTTCAGGAGATGTCTTATTTTTCCATGAAGAAGAATACAGTACACATTTATCATTAAATGAAAATAAAGGAAATTTATTACCTGTATACGGTATGGTAGTATGGTAGTTGTCAACACAAACCAGACAAACTGTGAATCCTACAGTATCAAGAATTTACTCATTTATTCAATGACAATCATGTCGTCATCTTCTGGAACATCATCATAACAATCCAATTCCTGAATTTCCTGGTGAATTTCTTGTGACTCCATTTCTTTCAGAATCAGTGGACCAAATCTCTCATGTTTAGCGTAGAGGGGGCCCTTATATCGGGTCTAGTAATAATTAATGTCGTTTTTAAACATTCGTTTAAAATCTTGCTTGGCATTGACTTGTATTGACATAACCTTCAAACACGTGGTATCTACAGAACGTGTGAAGTGCAATTAACAAGTTTTGCTTGAAAAAGTTTGTATTTGGTTTGGTTTTTGTTGTAAAACTAGGGCTAAGAAGATGGCGGATGAAGAGCATATTCGGCACTGCATGCTTTACGAGTTCCAATTAGGAAGAAAAGCAAGTGACGCTGCAAAAAACAGCTGTAGTGCTCTTGGTCAAGATGCAGTTAGCGCCAGAAAATGCCAGCGTTGGTTTGAGAAATTTCGTGAGGGAAATTTTTCGTTAGATGACAAGAGTGGTCAAGGCCGTGTGTCCAATTTTGATCAAGAAGCTCTTCAAGCTCTTTTGGTGCAAAATCCTCAAATTACCCAACAAGAGCTTGCGACAACTTTAAATTGTTCACAAAAAACAATTTCCAATCAATTGCGTGCACTTGGCAAAGTCCAAAAGTTTGGAAAATGGGTTGGTTCCTCATGAGTTGACCGACAACAACCGTAATCAAAGAGTCACAATTTGCAGTTCGCTCCTCTCTTGTCAAAACCGTTTGCCGTTTTTAGAGCAAATTGTTACCGGAGATGAAAAATGGGTGCTGTATGTTAATTTGAAAAGGCGGCCTCAATGGTTGGACAAAAATGAGGCTCCGCAGCCCATGCCAAAACCTGACTTGCATGCGAAAAAAGTGATATTGTGTGTTTGGTGGAATTTTAAAGGAATTCTTCATTATGAACTTTTACCATCTAACCAAACCATTACAAGTGCAGTGTATAGTGCCCAATTGGAAAGGTTAGCCCAAGCTTTAAGAGAAAAAGAACCCGCGCTGATTAATCGGAAGGGCGTAATTCTTCACCACGATAACGCACGACCCCATACTGCAAGAATCACTGCTGAAAAACTGCGCCAGTTGGAATGGGAAGTTCTCCCTCAACCTGCATATTCTCCTGATATTGCCCCTTCCGATTACATTTGTTTCGTTCTTTGCAAAACTTTCTTCTTGGAAAAAAATTTAATAATGAAGAATGCCTCAAAAATGCATTGACCGAATTTTTTGCATCAAAATCACAAGAATTTTACAACAGAGGGATTAAAATGCTTCCTGAGCGTTGGGCACAAGTAGTAGAAAACAACGGCAACTATATTGTTGATTAAATTTTGTTGTATTGTTTAAATAAATTCTATTTAAAAAAAGTATTAGAAAACGACATTAATTATTACTAGACCTAATATTTCACTCAGAAGGAAACCTGTAAGTAGGTCTTATTTTCAGAGGATGTCTTATTTTCGGGGAAACACGGTACATTTTTATATTTATAGTTAGAATGATTGGTCCATTAGCATACTTGCCAGTAAATGGATTAAGCTGAGATAATTGGGACATAGTGAGAGGCTGTTTAGATAATTAGTACCGGATTAAGCGTGACACTGTTTCTATGTATGGAAAAAGTCCTTGGAGTTCTTAAACTATTCTCAACTTCCAAATCTTTGGAATTATATAGGCATCATTTGAAAAATGGAAGTGAAAAAGGTTACTAGCCTATACATACTGAGTTTTGAAAATTACTTTTTTTTTAATCTAAGCATCTTACATTTATTTAAAAGCCCAGATATTCTTTTCAGTTAGGTTTTCTAAACTTACCAAGAAAGATAATCTTCAGGAGCTTAATGCATTCCCAAGAGGGGAGGGGGGGACAAGGAGGGAGGGACAAGGCTTAGAGCTACATGAGATAAACTCAGATTTGCCACATCCATTTACGGATAGGGTTCAGGATCTGAAGAAGGGGTTGTGCATAAATGAAAACACTAAACAAGAAATATGAATTTAGAAGGCATGGGGGGAGGGGAGAGAGACAGGCAGAAACCTCTCTAGCGGAGAAGCTCATTGAAAACCTGGACCTGTCAGCTTTTATTCACTTGAATACACATTTGCCCTTTAGAAATGCATACAGGTAAAGTTTGGTAACAGTAAAAGGATTACCAGGTTAGGGAATTGCCTTCAGACAGTGAGCCCATAGTAGGCAATATTATGCTAATTTTCAGCCCTCCTGAATATCAAAGTCCATTGGCCTTCTAAAGGGACTTTTGAATAAAATGCTAATTACTGTTGATTTTAGCCTCCTGCATTTCTCCCATTTTGTTTTAATAAATCTTGAAAGGTATATGCCATCTGCAGGGCTTGAGTCCTATTAAGACTTTTCATTCTGCATCTGCTGTCTAGAATTAAACATATAAGAACAAGAATGAGATAGATAATAATGATTATGCTAAACAAATGTAGGAAGATTCAATGAAAAGGATTGTATTTTTTTATGTCCATTTTAAAATGCTGTCAAACATTTAAGGAGCTAGTTTGTAGTAGGCTCCTTTCTGGGCCATAAGTTCTTCATGGGTCCCCTTCCTAGTCATTGTCCCCAGCAATGATATTCGAATTCTGGATGGTGGACAAATGATGGGCAATGACATTGCAGGTCTGACCTTCTTTGGCTTTATCCAGGGCAACCTGTACCATTGCACACCTGGTGACTGTTAACATGGCAAGGTTTCTTTACCATTTCCCAGGTACTCTCTGGACTGTTTCTCCTCTTTATTTCTTATCTTCAGCATGTTACTTGGGGGCTACTGCTATCTATGGCTGTAGTAGTCTGGTCAATTCCTCTCTAGGATCAAAGTTGAATATTCCTTGCACGAATCGACACAGGCTTGGAGGAGTTTTCTGGAAATACACAAGCATATTCTCAACCAAAAGTTAACAAGGGGTCAGGGCC